ACGGAGAGAAAACGGCCGGGTGGTCCTGCGGGCTCTGACGGCAGCGTCTGTGGCGGCATCGGGGACGTTCCTTCCGGCAACAGGAACTCACACGAAATGATGTCTTGTGCCAACTGCGGCAACTCCCAGTGCTCTCACGCCAATACGCCCAACAACTGTCCCAACGGAGAGGTACGAAATGATGTGTCTTCTAACAATAATACTGAAAATTTCTTTAGCACATGGCATAATAAAGACAAGATGCTATCTTATATCCCTCCTCTCCCCATGCTAGACACCGCTATGGAAGGTGTTCTTAAAATTAATGTTACAAATTTTTGCCTATTAATTCAATAAATAGGCTTTTTCTGGTAGAGGTTATATCTCCTGTGTTATTTTTTAATATGAAGATGACTTGTCTATTAAAGTAGAGATTATTTATGGAGACTATAGAGGTGAAGGTATGTGGTTAAAGACACATGAAGAAACCCTTACGACATTTTATGAAAGTTTTTTTTTACTACCCCTGGACCTAGTTCACTCTGTACGAGTGAATCAAGTCTCAGAATCGGAGCGTTTCCATAAATAAATACAATAAAATGTTTGCTCAGATGTTTTTACCCAGTGTTTGTCGGTATTACACACCAATGTATAAGTACATATATACCATGACCAACACTGTGTACCTTATTTATATATTGGTATATCCTAGCATTGTATTTATAATATATACTTGGCTTTCACTGCAGAGGTATAGGTAAATTACCTAATGTTTCATACGTTATGTTCCTATGTATGGTAAGTTTTGGATTTCTAACAGCAACATTTTCATTCTAAGCAGAGGAAATACCTTATGTGTCCATGTAGCTGAAGTATCATATATTCATACAGTAAACATTACAAATTGTTGTATAATGAAGAATTAATTTCTTCATAGAGAAAAGCTTCATACCAACATGCTATTAAAGCCTCAAACTAATCATGCTTTCGAAAGCCACTTATCATCATTATGTTTAAATGGTGTCACCCTAAGATCATATTCTAATTATCTGCGTCAAAATAATGCAGAAGACTTTAATTTAAATTTAAGCCAAATATATTTATTGTGAGGAAATTTAGGCCACATTCATTAATATGGATAAGAAACATTCACCGCTACTTTTGTTAACAAGTTCCGTTTCTTAATATTTTGAAGCTAACATTTCCTTAGTGCGGGAACTGTGGGTTCGGGTAGGTTCATGGAGTAAAGGAAAAAAGGGGTGTTGGGTAGAGCAGGGCGGAGAGAATGGGCAGGGTAACGGGCAGGGTGACCCTCTGGGTCCAAGGGCCGGGAATTAGTTGTGGGGGGTGAGGGTAAGGTGAGGCTCCTGATTCAGGGGCCTGGAGGTAAATTGGCTGGTCTGTGGAGCAAGGCTGTTCAAAACACAGTTTGCGTGGTATGAACCCGAGAAAGCAAGGTGTCATCTTGATTACAGAGTAATAACTGACATACATCGAACGAAGGATTTTATTTGGTTAGCTTAAATATCACACAACATACAGGTGCCAGTACACACGCAGTATATCGTGTATTAGTTAACGCTATACATTTATAATGAATTCTTAATTCTCTCATAAAAGGAGCTAACAAGGATTTCTTTAGTACATATCGTATTTCGAAAGCAATAATTACCTCCAAGGTTCTTCCATGAATAAATTAAGAGCGTGAAATATCGACAGAAACAAACACGTGAGTCATAGATCTGTTGCACAAAAATATATTCGCAAGTTTTATATATTTCTCAGCTCATTAGTTCATCTGTTTTTACTGTCTGGGAGAAATGAGTTAAGTATATTGCTACAGATTACACTTGTAAATGACTTTAAAAGAACCATAAATAATTACACCAATTATTTTCGTCTTTTCCAGGATGTGACTGTGACAGTAAGTATAAAATCAAACGTTCCAGATATCACTGGAGAGCTGCATGAGTTTCTCAGTGCTTGTTGTCAAGCTCGGAAAGGAAGTCTGCGCTTCCATAAATTTATTTACATTTTTCTCTCACGATGTCCCAGTTCCCCTCCTTACCTTAATCCATCTTTGTCATCTTTCCAGATTACTCCCTATGATATTTCCCTCTCTTTCTCACCTTGTTCCAGCCATCTCACATTGTTCCAACTTCATATTTCTTCAGCTCCATTACACTGTTCAATTTCCTTCGCATTGTTCCAGCTCCTCACATTGTTCCAGCTCCTCACGTTGTTCCAGCTACCTTCTTCATCTTGCTTCCTGTTCCTCATTACTCGCTTTCTCGTTTTAATTTTCAGGATGTAAGGGAAGCATTCTCAGACTGACCTTGTTTACCCTTTCAGTTACTGGCATGAGCATCCGCTGGGGAGAAGCACGGAAGGGGTATCAATCAGACTTCACCTGTAGGCTTGTCTTAAGGGAGAACTACAATATAGATGTGAAGCTCTGAGCTTGCTGTGTCCTTGCTTCCTGTTTATTGATGAAAATTTTTGCCTCCACGTTAAAGCTCGCCTCCCTGCAAAAATCTAACTCTTCCCTCATTAAAGTTTGCTTTCTCCCTATAAAAATTTGGTTCTTCCCTGTAAAAGTTTGATTCCTCCCTGTAAAATTTTGCCTCTCTGTAAAAGTTTCATTCCTCCCTGTAGAAAGTTGCCTCTTCGCTGCTAAATTTTGTTTCACTGTAAACATCTGTTACCCTATAAAAGTTGCCTCGTTGGAAAAGTTTGCCTCCATGGAAAAGATTGGTCCTTGCAAACTGGCCCTCCAGGAAAACGTTACCCCTGGAAAAATTTGCTCCAGCTGGAAACGTTTCGGTGGACGTCCGTCTTATTGGGATCCTGGATGTTTTTCATGCTTAAGTTTTAAATATGCAATGTCATGCTGACCTACTCATATTGTTAGCTTCTCACGTGTTAGCAGCAGACCGCCAGCTGCAGCTCTTTCCTCAACATAATGTCCAAGAGAGTCACGTGATTTCTCGCATGTAGTAAGGTTGATTTCTGGTTTATATACAGTATCTCATAGTATTAGATCACATTAGCTAGGAGATCTGATTGTAATTTCCTTCTTTTCGAACCCAGTTACTAGCGATCAACAGCTGGAACCATAAGTAATGGGAATATATTTTCGGGTAACTTAAGGTTTGGAAGCCACACCATTGCCAGGAGCTAGAACCCAATCTTTTGAAAAGATACTAAAATTTTAGTTCATTTGTGTTCACTTGAACAGAGCAGTGTGAGCAGGTCGTTGTTCAGTTACTCAGTCTTAATAATCCCGTGAACTGGAGCCCAGCCCTCTAAGTCATATTTTAAAATTTTGGATGAGTGGTTTGATGTGTTTTTACGATACTTATTTTTTTATATTTTAAAAAATAATATTCAAATATACTGAATCGATTGGATCTGAACACTCGCAGGATGGCCAGGAGCTACAGGTCTTCCCTTTCATTCATAATAATGTTTTTGGGTGAGTATGTCAGGTCTTGAAGTTTGACCTCAAACTCTCCCAACACGGCTAAGCACATCATTAGCAGAGCCTGAAGCTATGACTTAACACTTTTAAAAAGGCGCGAGAGCTGGAGCTCAGCCCTGTCACATACTACTAAAATTCTGTATCAATCGATCAAGCATTGTTCGATTAATATTTATTTAACATTCCACTGAAGCTATCAATACTTATCATGGACGCCATGAACCAATACTGCTCCAGATGTTGCTAGTCAAGCCGAGGAATGTAATTTATTTTAATGGATTTTAGGGGGTGTTAATCTCTCAAATTTTAAGGTTGAAAATGTGCTCAACTTTCTTAATATTAAATTGTTTAGGGGGATACTTTATGTAATAAAAAGAAATGCGATGTAAAGGAAACTCGCAGAACTAAAAAAAAATTCCGTTTCATTGTGTTAAATAAACATAACATTGAAAAGTTTAAAATATATATAATGATAAGTGCTTACAAAATTAATTAGGTGAGTTGGTCAACTGTGGCGCTATTAAACGCGGTCATCCTGAGATTTTTGCAAAATATTTTTTTTATATATAATTATTTAGTACACACGAGCTACTAGGCCCTCCATAGGGCCTAACCAACTCCTCATCAATACCAATCTTAAAGTGACTTACGCCATTGTTCTACCAGTTTCAAATCAGCTCAATGCAAAAAAACAAATCATACAGCAAGTACCCATTTGGATTTTAAGTCATGTGCCCGTTATATAAAAGTTTTGAACCGTCTGTTTTAGGAAAAGAACTGGCTTGAGTTAAATTTAACGGCAGGTTTCACTTCACTTCGTTGAGTAGTAAAAGGTTTCCCTGGTACCTATGTTCTTCCACTGAAGGCTTTGTTTACCTGTAGTGAGTTTCAGACGGACTAGCTACTGCGACGTCGTAGGCTAGTTGCACTGCCATGTGTCTAGCAGTACGCCTCCATGTGTCCAACAACAGCTACACTGCTATGTGTCCAAAACTAATTGTACTGCAATATGTCTAACAATCAATTTGCCTTCGTAAACAAAAAAATAATCAAAATATTTTTTTAACGAAAAATGGAAGATATTCAACAGTAAAGATCAGTCAAAAACTCTACGGATGTGTCATGCCTAGTTTCATTACACTGATCAAATATTTTGATTATTTTACAAGGTTTAATTATAGCTTCTGGGCCTCTGGAGGGTGTTAATATACATATTCTGTCTCGAGTGTGTTGATCGACAGCTCCTGGGTCTTTTTGAAGGTGTTAAGCTAAGGGTGCGAGGCTTCTTGAGCGTAATGAGCTTAAGCTCTGGAGCCTTATGAAGATGTTGATCTTCAACTAATGTACCTCTCGGGAAGGTGAAGTTATACCTATCAAGTATCCTGAAGACGTTGAGCAGCAGCAAGCACCTTAGTGCATGCCTCCAGCATGCCTCCAGCATCAACTGAGGTGCAAAGACCGTGGAGACGGTGGAATATACTATCGTATGGCGCAGTGTCTGTAATATACTTAGTTTATTTTATTGATTATTTTATTCATGATACAAGATTACGAAATCTTGTATCATGAAGACGTCATGCAAATTAAATGTGTGGGTCTCAAAATCGGTCTATTTTCTCGTGTCTTTACCTAAACATTATAAACCCCATTAGGGCTCACTTTTGAACCTTCTTGGAGGCTCACTTTAGATCTCCATCATGGGATTTCTTCTGAACTCCGTCATTGGCTCATTTCTTAATCCATCGTAAATTCTCTTTTGCACTAGTAATGTTCTTTATTTCAAATTCATCATCGAGTCAGTCATGAACCTCATCGTACGCTCACTTTATTAACATCATAAATTTCTTGAAGCCATGAAAGGTTTCACTTTTGAAATCTATCATGCGCTTTTAAACCCATTCTGACCTCATTTTTGAGCTCAGTATGCAGCTGGGGTCAGGAACCAGCCATGACTGGGTTACTGTATCATACATCAATACAGAGTGGATGATTAAATTAATATTTGCCGCTGAGCTTCTCAGTGCCTGATTTCGCTGGCTGGTGATCGCTGTCGTGAAAATTAATCTTTAAAATGTCTTTAAATTACTGTAACAGAAAAAAAATTGTATTAAACCACCAGAATTTAAAAAAAAATTCTGTGACGTATCGGGGTTTTGTTCGTCAGGAAACCGGAGCTGTTTTCTTTTTCTTATACTGGGTGTAAATCTTTTATATCGTATCTTATTATGTGATATATAATATTTTCCCGGGCCTAGCTGAAGATTCAACAGAAGATCTGTGTCAAAAGTTTCAGTCACTGGTCCTTTCTATGATTTAGACCAACGTTAGTGAGAAATTTCATGTTTCTCACCAGAAATCACCTGCCAAGACTATCCAGAGGTTATATTAGATAAAGTTTGTCAGGAAACAGGACAAGTGTTTCCTGGCGTGGGTCTTAATTATATTATGACCTGTAGCTGGAACTTTCGGTCACCTGATCAAGGCCTTCCGCTGGCTTACTGGTCCATCTCTTTAAAAATTATTGCTATTATTAAACCTGACTCGTCAGAGAATAATAACTTGAGACACAGTTCACTGTACTGCGCACCATAACTGACTCTTCATTTGCCAAACTATGACATACTTACGACTAACTAATGTATTTCATCTTGATACTAACTGGATATTTGGCAACTGAAAGTAGCAATATTTCGTATATTCAGATATGTCTACTTACTGTGTCTTGTAAATTACAGTAAATTTTTCAGCTATTTATTTAACTGTGTTCAGTTTTGTATATTCAGATCTATCTACTTATGTGGTATACCATAAATAATTCATGTTGTTAATGCAGTTAAGAAAAATAAAAGTATACACTAGATGTGAATATCAGGTTCTGATCCATCAGGAGGCCTGGTCACAGACCGGGCTGCGGGGGGCGTTGACCCCCGGAACTCTCTCCAGGTAAACTCCAGGTCCAGGTAACAATATTACGCAGCGATATACTTTATAGTTTGGGGCTACTAGAGAATAGAAGAATGGAAAAAAACATACAATATACTCTATCAGAAAATAGCTTATATTTATATTTTTTTAATTCTGAAGTTTTTGTATTGACATTCATACAGATTTCATGATGAAAAATACTGGTCCTTATTGCTGAATGATATTTATATATTTTTTAAGTATTATAATAATTATGAAATATATCCAATGCGATGGGAGAGGGGGGAAGACAGGGTGTCATCATTTTGGTGAAGGGCTCTTGATCCAAGGAATTGCAATTACCCTTCGTGAATCCAGTACAGGGAAGAACGGTGGAGGATGAGGAGGAGTTTGAGGTAACCAATCCTTTTGCCTGGAGTCGATGTGTTCAGTCCATCAATCGAGAAAAGTACAACATATGCGCCTATTAGGAGCGATGTGCTGTAGTCAGATAAGGTAAAGCAGTAGTAGGCAGAGTCACGAGTGGAAAAATCCACTAATGGAAGTTGGTCATCCCTATAACTTAGCTAACCTCTGAAGACTTCCCTCCTTAAAAAAACAAACAAGTTGTTGTTAAGACAGACAAAGTTTGCATAAATGGTTTAGAGATCCCACAAGTTGATAAATGAAACATTTATGTAACATATATGTGCATTTATTCCGGAAACGTTTCTCCAGCCAGTAGTGAAACGTTTGCAGAATAAAAATACCCAAATGCTGCACTATTGTTTCATTTACAAAAATTATAATAATAATAATAATAATAATAATAATAATAATAATAATAATAATAATAATAATAATAATAATAATAATAATAATAATAATAATAATGATAATAATAATAATACATAATAATATTAAAAAAATCTAAAAAAGTCGTCTCTCTTATGTGCTAATAATCAGAAAACTTCTTTAACTTTATCGTCAATGATGGGAAGAGTATCTTCAGCAGTGACTGGAAGGGTATCTTCAGCAGTGATTGGAAGAGTATCTTCAGTAGTGATTGGAAGAGTATCTTCAGCAGTGAATGGAAGGGTATCTTCAGCAGTGATTGGAAGGGTATCTTCAGCAGT